TCCACAATATCGGGATAGCGCTCAGCCACGTCGTTGATCCGCTCGACCATCTGCACGTACTTCAGGTATCTGGAAACCGTTTTAACAGAAAACCACGCTTTTCACATGTCCAGTAGTAACACGAGGAAGTTCAGGGTCCATTGTGGCGAGATTACCTATAAGGACCGCTCGGCGCTGGTTCAACTCGCTGACCATAGCTCCTTAGTGTGCATTGTAGTCCGAGGATGAACGCAGAGAGAATCAACCGTGCCCATGCACCTGTGATGGAATGCCGAGGAATGATGCTGTTGTCAGTCGATAAATTGCCAACGACTCCGAATAGAAGGCCGGTCTATTGGAGAGATATACAACATCTTCCAAATCAAGTAGCTCAAGTTTTTCAATCAACAGTTTAGTTCTAAGTAATCGAGAACGCGGTACTTAATAAACGACGATCACCAGCGAGCTGATCCCTCTATTAAACGCGGGGGACAGTGGGGAAAGTTCCTAATGTGACGACTGATTGAAAAATGTGTTCTTAGGCATGTGAAAATTTCAAAGAGAATTCCTCCAGGAAGTTTAGAAAGTTCCTGGATGATACCCTATACAGCTCTACATCGGGGGGAGCAAGCCGCCCCCTCCCCATCGGAAATACTCCTTTCGATAGCCTAGGTCTACAAGTACTGTACAAACTATCGTCACTAGAGATAACTCAATAGAGCAACACTACCAACCGAACTGTAGAGCGGCTCACTAGTACCTCTTCCTCTTAGGAGTAGCATCATAAAGTCGGCAAGAAAGGAGTGGACATATAATGCAACTACCATGGGGTCTTCGACAGAACACTATTAACAACACAGAGACAAATTGGCCGTGAACACTGTACTGATAAGAAGGAGGATGGATCCACTCGATAGGGCTCTTGCCAATATCTACTTTCATCAGAGTAAGAGTAGTATAGGCGGCCTATACTACTCTATAATAGGCCAGAGCATTCACCATGCATGGTTCTCCTCAGATTGCCCCGATAACAGGATCAGACTATTTCACGCCCTTCCTTGATTCATACTCACTATCGTGTTGGTCGTCACCCTCCTGGGTTCTTGCTGTGAAGTTAATCAAGTGCCGTGCAGCATAACAAGACTCCTCAGCGACTGGTGAACTGGCCAATCCAAACTCAGATTCTAATAAGGTCAAATCCTTCGCTCCGCTAAGAAAAAGAAATGAAGTGCTTCGCCCCGCTAAAGAATTTCTCGCTCGCCTCGCCTGGCCAATCGCTTCCCTCACACGACTTCTGCGGCACTACGCCTGTAGTCTATTTTTCTTGCATGGGGACGGTGTTCTCAGTAGGTCAGATACATGGGTCAGTGATATGCGGTACTACTACTTGTGTGTTTGCTTACCTAGGGAATGCCTCTCCCTGGTATCCATTGAAAAGGGGAATTCGCTGGTTACGAGGAGACCTTGCGCGATGAATTACAATATGTGCGACTGGTATAATCACCTTAGCTCTAGTTCCATGCTGATGCAGGGTCTCCTTACGCCTACTATGGCCCAGTCTAAGCGGAATAACGAGTCCCGGCCGATGCCCCTCAATACTTGGCTCTCCCTAGGCGTCTTGCTCTACTTCAAGGACCTCCCGCTTAGTGATGACTATAATTGAATAAATCACCTCTGCGGTCCGCGTGGTGACTCAGGCTGGTGTATTTTTGATGGTTTATAGGAGTATTAGAGGGAACACGGAGGGTGACGAGGAGATCGTGCCTGCCCATTAGAATGATCTCGGTAATAGCGGCGTTTCACGTCTACTCTGCTGCATAGTGAATGGCACGTCGCGAACAGATGGAACAGGTGGGGGTTATAGCAAGCTCATGCACCGCCTGTGAACCGAGCTCAATCAAGTTTTTATCGTAGCATCATAGCTACGATGAGTATTGTGATGATACAATAGTGATGTACGATCACTTTGTATGCTTTGACGTTGTTTGCAAGGAAATGGGCCGTATTAGAGGCCATCGAGTCCCACTGCTTGGCTCCCAGGTCGGGCTCATCCACGATAAGATGGGCTAGGTTCATCCCTTAATGCTGAGCTAGGTGCTGTGTCTGATGGCGCTCACCGACTCGGGGAGTTTTTCAAGGATCTTCATTGGAATAGGTATGCCTCTTCTTATTGGATGAAGTTATCAATGTATCGTTTACGAGAGCTCTCCGTCGGCCGTTCAGAAGCATGAACCACCATTAGAAAGGTTTGTTGGGCACTATCGAGCTGTTAGTGGGGTATATCGATGAGGATGAGGGGCCGGACAAGGGCCAGGATGCTAAGCCGTCCGAAAAATATGCGAAGACTCATTAATTAGGTGATAGCATAGGGCGATCGAGTATTTCTGGAATGCTCATTGTGACATGACGGATGGTGTCTCAACGTTTACTGTTGCGTTCATGGGACCGGGTCAGTGCGAGTGCCAACTGGTTGAAGTGGTCATTCAGAGGGTTTATCCTAAAACTGCATGAGCAATATCACTACACCGGAGGCGACAAGTCTTGTGGCTGAGACAGGCGTTCCGGAAGTAGACTTAAAACCTGCGTTTCCAGCTGTGGGGGAAGGCGCGGCATCGATGAAGCCTGAGAAGGCAGCTGAGCCAGAGCCTGTGGTCTCTAGTGTGACTAGGGCGGCGGTCTCGCTAGATCCTTCCATTAACCGAGAGCCTGTCGGTCATACATTCCGAGGGGAACTCTTCCTCTCTATACCCGAGCTTGGATCGGTCTGCGAGGCTTTGGAGGGTTCTGGCTTCGCGATTGAGGAAGTGAAGACTCCCCCAGCTTCCCCTCGACCGGAACTGTCATTCGCGGCTGCGGTTTCGGCTCGGCGAAGGACTAGAGAGTCTACCGTTGCAGCTCGCTCCAGCAGTACCGTCGACGGAGCCAGCGAGAAATCCCCTACTATGGGGAGGAGCACTTTGGGGAAAAGGAAGAGGGTAGTATATGGTGGTGGTTAAGGGGGTCGGCTTTTGATTGTTTTGACATTTGAAATTGTAGAATTAACCCGGGTTGTTCTGAAAAGGCCAGGTTTGACTTCATTTCATCTCTCTCCGCTCGCCCAAAATTAGAGCGATCACCTGTTCCGTAGTGACTCATCTTGTAGTAGATATCATATGGACGAACTTGTTTCTCGAACTATTTGTGGAATTCAGGGAGAAAGCGCGAGTTCTCCGTCGGATTCCCCGAGCTCAAGTATGAAGATGAGCAGTGTGGACGAGCAGAAAGTGGCCCAAAACCCCTCTATGAGGCGAGTTCCGACTACGAAAAAGAGCAGTGCGCCTGTGAACATCTCAGCGGCGCCGATTGTCGCTTCTGGGAGTCCCATTTTGATGAGTGGCAAGGATCCAGGGGCACGGATTATGATGCCTAGAGGAGCAGTATCGAGAATCGGCGATGATGGCGCCCATTTCCAATCAGTTTTCTTGGGGGTCTTGAACACGATAGAAGCCGACAAAGGATTTTCCGGTGCTGATAGTATAGCGTATTGGTTCAGCCATCCGGTTCTACCTCGGCAGATTGAGGGGGTCAGCTTTAGTGCATGTCAGTTGCCGATTGATTTGGGGCATGTGAGGCGCATGGTGGAGGAGGGGAAGTACAAAACACATTTGGAATTGGAACGAGATCTGCGTCGACTTGTACGATTTGCGTTGGGAAATTATCCTAAAGATTCGCAGCCTTTCAAGGCGGCGGAACGGTTGAATAAACTGTGCACGGAATTGATGTTCGATGCCTCGTATCGGATTGAGAATGCGGAGTATGTGG